AGCAGAACAACACCGTAGCCTCCGATCTTCTTGGAGGAGAGCCAGGAGCCATCTGTATAAATACTGAGCTCAATTTGTTCATTTGCGCCCAAAATGTCCGACCAATGTACAAGTTCTGCAACTCGCTTGGCAGTAGTGGGCTTGAGCTCACAAGAGTGGAGCTCAGCCTTTAGCCATGAAGGAGACCATGGTCGCAACAGGGAGAGGGCCTTGTCTTGAACATCTGGTAGTAAGATCGTCTCCTGTGTGAGGTCGTGCTCCTGCACCGGTAGATGATCTGCTATCTTTAGCTCAGACGGGCTGTGGTCTGCATCATCCTTGCGTTCAATGGGATGCAGTGAGGACCTTCGTCTTGGGCTGCGGCTGCGTTCGCCTGAAACAGGCTGAGGGGGAGGGGGACCAAAGGGGCCCGGCCCAGCTGGACTCGGCCCATCGGAGAAGTCGGAGGAGTGCGGGAGGGGGTCCGTGTAGCTGCTGTCCTCGGACTCGTCATCCTCATTGGCCTGATGGCTAGTCTCAGTGTCCTCCGAGCTGGACTCAAGCTTCTGCATGAAGAGCTCAAGGACCTCCCCATGCTCAAGTTTTATCCATGGGCCGTCTAGGGATGGTTCACCGCCATTGACTGCAACATCCCATCCTGGAACTTCGCCAATTTGTAGACCGTCAAGGTACTCCTTTGGGCTAAAGAGAGGAAGCGGCAGCTGAACCCACTGTGGAAAATATCCCAGCCCCCGCAAATCTAGGAAGGCGACAATGGGGTCTCCAGGCTCCGGCTGGTCCGCCTCCAGGACCGCAATTTGTGACCAAACACGCCGGCCGGAAAGCGAGAGCCCCCTTACTTTCGTATTGGGGGCGTGGACAGCAATCTCGTAGTGATTGATCTCCAGGGCCTCCGCGGCTGCAACCTCAAGCGGTCTCTCATCATCCGACTCTATGAGTTCCACTACCTGATCGTCAGACGACTGGTATACCGAGTGGAGTCCATCTCTTGCACCTGGGGGTTCCACTGTGGGGTTCCAGCGCCGAGGATGTTGTAGGCGATGCTCAAGAGTGTCTGACCAGCGAGGGGTTCCACCTCGCGCTGTGATTTGAACTACACCGCCAACAACTGGGGCCACCGGGAAGCCTTCGAGGAGAGGGTTGGGGTCCCCGAAGGGGAAAGCATCAATTTCCTCCACCTGTAGGTCATTCACGTGTTGCCGAACGCACTGGAGGGTGAGCGGCCCTTCCGTAAAGAAAGCGAAGACTGTGCCCCCAACAAGGCGACAGTCCATCACTAACCCAACCTTGTCTGTGTGGAGAATCCATCCAGGAAGGGCAATGAAGCTGGCGAAGTGGTCGCTGATCTGGGGCGAAGTTGGGACATATTCGTCCGCATAGTGGGGCATGATTGCACAAGCCTCTTTGATGGTGTCTTTGAGTCGTTCGACGCTGAGCGGGAAGGCCAAATAGGCATCAACGATTTCACTTTCAAAGAAAGGGCATGCAATCCATGCCGTGACGTGCGCCTCTTCAAAGGTTGTCTCTGCAGTCTCCTCATTCTCATGATCTGGTAGAGGAGCACCTGGAGGGGTGACCGCGTAGACGGGGAGCGCCGCTTCTCCAGATCCGTGTTGTAGCGGGGCTTCAAGAATAAGCCTCGTGTGGGCAGCAACAAGCTGCTCTCGCATGGTCATTTGGCCAGTGCTCCAAAGCTGGATGTCAGAGAGTTTTGGCCTGGTTCGGGGTTCATGTCTCACTGTGTGCGTGTGGACCGCCGCCGTGGTGGGGAGGATGCTGTAGACAATGAAGGCCTTGCATACGCACCTCGCCATTCCAGCAAGGCCAGTGGCCTTGCCTTTGCTGGCTTTTCCACCAGCCGCACACCCTTTCATGCCGATAAGAAGGATCGACAGGAACTGTATGGCTGCAATGGTATTCAGCCATGCCCTGCTGGCATTTTGCATCGCCTGCATAGCCGTCAGGGCCCTCTCATAGAGGGGGCGTTGCGCCGCCTCCATGAAGTCCAGGATATCCCAGAAATGACATCGCTGGTTGTTCGGGTCGTGGCCTCCCGTAGGGCCGTGCCCATGGTCATCATGTACCCAACATAGATGACCATCAAAACCTCGACGAAGAGAAGGGGGTCTGCCTCTGTGCTGGCTGGCAGGAACCGGTACTAACTCAACGTCCGTATTGGCATTCTCACCCACCAATTCAAACGGGGGGTTCACGATGTGCATCACCTCGCTGGCATTGCTCCCCGAGCATGCCCCAAGAGAGGAGGATGCGGCGGACAAACCGAAAAAGCCGCCATCGTTATAACTGCACCTCGGTTGGCGTGCTACTCCACGTCCGTTCCCCCCGCCTTGTCCTTGAGCTCGCCCAGGGTCATGTCCTCGTCCTCGGAGTCCAGGATGTCCTCCAGAGAGGCCTCGACTCTCTTCTTGTCGAGCTTCTCCGCAAGGGAGGCATGCTTCCCGGTCTGGACAGGGCCATTCACCTTCCCCTTGACCGATGTACGGGGGAGGCTGGCTTGGGATCTTGACCGTGCTCTTGGCAGCGGGGTGGCGCCTCCCCCGTGGGAAGGAGACACCATATACGGATCCTTGGAGGTAGTTGCGTCTGGGCCAGTGTAGGTCGGGGCCACGTGTCCGTCCTCCACTGGGCGAGTCTCCTCTTGCTTGCTGGTAGTCGCAGGGGGGGTCATCGCCGGAGGCTGTGCGGAGCGTCTTGGCGG